TCTAATGGATAGGGTGAGGAGCTCTGACACTCGGGAGGAGCTCGGAGTAGAACCGCTGCTCCTTCACATCGAGAGAAGTCAGCTGAGGTGGCTCGGACATCTGTTTCGGATGCCTCCTGAACGTCTACCTAGGGAGGTGTTCCTGGCATGTCCCACCGGTAGGAGGCCTCGGGGAAGACTTAGGACTCGCTGGAGGGGCTATGTCTCTCGGCTGGCCTGGGAATGCCTCAGGATCCCCCCGGAGGAGCTGGAGGAAGTGTCTGGGAGAGGGAAGTCTGGGGTTCTCTCCTAAGACTGCTGCCCCCGCGACCTGGCCCCGGAAAAGTGGCAGAAAATGAATGAATGAACAAATACTGTAATAAATGTATTGTTCATTGTCTGTTCACATCAGTAAATGCATTAACTAATATAAACTAATACAACACTGTTTTGTTTTTACAAATTTAATTTGATTAAACATAAAACAATGAAGTTGTCCCCCAAAAATTAAGAATTGTGTTGTTTTAGCTCATTTTAAATAAGTAGAGCATGCAACAAAGATAATTTTTTTGAGTTTATGGTCAGACAAAAAAAAAAAAGTGCAATGTTGAGCAAAACCTCCTCTCACTTTTTTTTGGCTCATGTGGGACGGTCTATTTGTACATCCTTAAACAAATTAGAGGAGCAGCTGTGCAACTCCGGCCTATCCTATGCTGGCGTTGTGCGATTAAAAATATGCTCTGGTAAAAGCCAGCCTCTCTTCTCCCAAAATATACGGCTGTTTCTCTGGCTCTGAGCTCCTCGCCGTATTTACAATCAGCCTTCCCTTCACTTAGACCCTAGAGAGAGGAAGAAAAAAGCAGGACGAAAAAGACCACCAATGCAGATGTTTTCCAGACGTGGAACATGCCGGGTGCCAAGACGCACCTGTTGAATTGCAGATGTGTGTGTCTGTGTGTTTTTTCATTTCCTCAGATATAATTGAGCAACTCGCACACAAAAAGCAGGGTGTATAAACATCACACGCGTAAAGGAAATAGCCTCAGACGTGGTTTACGAAAAGTTCGAAGACGATATGCGTTGATGCGATTCCAGCCGAGCTGTGTTTAGTGCACGCACATGTCGAGAGGTGACACGAAGTGGCGTGACGCTTTTCATGCCGCGTTTATGACACAGCTGTGTGAATCAACTTCGTAGGGCGTCAACTGAGGTGTTTCCCAAACTTTCCTCAACTTTTCCAGATTTACAGCACGCTCTCTCTCTTTCTAGCTTCTCCGAAAAGCACACTGTAAATCTCGGACTATAGTTAATACAACTTGTATATCATGCTCATAGTACACTGTAAAATATCTTTCCTTACTTTGTTTATCATGTTTATTTTTATATTTTTTCACTTATTTTTGCTTTTGAATTGGGTTATGGGACTTTGATCTTTCCCTCAAAAGGTTTTGATGTTAAAAAGTCGAAAAAAGTCACTGTTATTAACATTTTTAATAATTTAAAATGATATATTGTCTGGGTTGCTGGTGTAAATGACACTAAATAAACCGCCAGTACATTTTCTGTTATTTTACAGAATTATTTGTATTTTTCTGTTTATTGCAACCCAGGCTTATTCTAATTACGTACCCCTATAAACATTTCTGGAGAGCGCCAAATACATCACAGGGTGTGTATTTTTTTTTTTTTTAATTTATTTATTTTTTTACAGTTTTTGTTGTCACGAATCCACCAGAGACTGCTGTGTACACTTTATGAGATCTCTGATATCTCTCGCGAATGCCATTCGTGCCTGTTGTTCTCTCATAAATCCTCTAGAGGCCGTTGTTGACTGACTGACTGACCAACTGGTGGATTCCCCCACCAACCCCCATCTCTGAACCCAACCAATAGTGTTTTTAAAAGCACCAATCGACCAGCACCCATCCACTTCTCTAAACCCAACCGACAGTGTTTTCAAAAGCTATCTAGAAAAAGAAAAGCCTTCGCGGCAGTCAGATTTTTTTTATACCCTGTTTACAGATTTTACCACATGCTTACCCTGTTATTTACTTGTTTATTTTATTGTTTGCTTTTTTTTTCACTGGACTTGAACCCCGTCGCCACTGGACAAATTGGTAACAGCGTCGTTAAGTCGTCATTACTGAGGTAAGCGGTAAGCTGGTAAGCGTGTAAAGTAACGGCGTCATACAGCCATACATACTTCTGGCTACATAATTTGCAATCTCCACAAATTTACATAGAGCTAGGTTTTCAGCATGAGCCTCTGTTGGTTTATTGTATTATTACCCCTTGATCTTTCATCCAACAACTTTTAATATTGAGTAGTTCAAAAAAGGGAGTTTTATTTATATTTTTAATATTTTGAAGTGATATATTGTCTGGATTGGTGTTTATTACAGTACAGAAACCTTGTTATAAACTACCAGTACGGTTTCTGTTGTTATTTCTCTATATACTAGTTCTTATACATTATATTATTTTAAACTACTGTATAAGTCACTATGTTTAACTGTAGAGTTGAATTTTCAACATCAAAAGTCAATAGAGCAGAGATTAAAGTCCCAAAATGCAATTCACAACCGTAAATGAACTGAAAACACTTGTGAAGCACAAAATATAGAAGATATTTTTTTACATTGAGTTTATCCATTTCTAAGTATTACTCATAGTTTTCTGATTGCTCTTAGAATTTATACCTGTATCCAGCACTTGCTGCTATTGCACATCTGGTTAGACTTAAACTGCATTTTGTTGCCTTGTACATGTGTAATGACAGTAAAGTTGAATTTAATCTAAAAATTTAGCAGTTTTATGTATTGTGTGATTCATGTTTATATATTGTGTTGTTCTCTATTGAAACCCAGGCTCATTCTGATTACATAGCCCTATATAAATTTCTGCCAAAATACATCCCAGGAGCTACTTTTTTTTATTTTTACATTTTTGTTTTTGTGAATCCACCAGAGGCTGCTGTATACGCTATTTGAGATCTTAAATTTCTTCCTTGAGTGCCATTCGCACATGCTGTTCTCGCGTAAATCTACCAGAAACCGCTGTCGACTGACCGATCAATTGATTGACTGACCAGCCGACCAATCCCCTCACCCACCCCCTTTCCTAAACCCAACCGATAGTGTTTTAAAAAGCACCGATTGACCAACGCCCTCCCACTTCCCTAAACCCAATCGACAGTGTTTTCAAAACCAATCCAGAAAAAGAAAAGCTTTTGTGGCCGCCTGATTTTACCTTGTTTTCAGATTTTTCCACATGCCTACCCTGTTATTTACTTGTTTATTTTATTTTATTTTATTTTTTGGCTTTTGTTTTTGTCTTACCTGCTTTCTGGAATCGTTCTTTATCGGACTTGAACCACGTCATCACAGTAAACTCCGCTCTGTATCATGTCCACTGACGTACGCTGCAAGCCACTGGACAAACTGATAACAGCGGTAAAACCGTACAAACAGAGTCAAGCGGTCAACTGGTAAGCACAAAAAAAGAAGTGTCAAACCACCCCGTAGCGTTCTAAAAGACGAAATGCAACTATATGTACTTCTTGCTACATAATTTGCGATCTCTAGAAGTATATATAGGGCACATATTAAGTAGACTACTAATACTCAAATGGACCATCAAAATAAAGTATAACCAACTTTTAACATTTTATTTAAAAATGAATATTAAATACTTTCCTTACAGTAACATTTGCTTAAATGTTCTCCATTTATTTACTGCTAAGGATACCTAACCTCTATTTTCTATGATTAAATTATTAGTATTATTGTACTATTAAATGTATTTAATTATAATAATTAAGTAAATAATTTGATAGGGCAAGTGAAAATCTTTTTTATTTAAAAAAAATCATTTGCATTTAGCCCTTTATAAGTCAAAAATTTCACTCATTATGGTATTAAAAATGTCTTTAAAAGTCTTAAAGTTAACTTGGTTAAACCTGGAAGAGATCTTGTATCTCAGTGGTACTAACCTGGTAAAATAAAAGACGAATAAATTATATAAAAAAAAAAAACAGAATTTAAGTATATACTAGAATAATAACTACAAAGTATAAGACACATTTGGAGCCTAGTGTTGCTAAATGTTTCTTCAATTTATTTATATATATATATATATATATATATATATATATATATATATATATATATATATATATATATACATATGTGTGTGTATGTATGTGTGTATATATATATATATATATATATATATATATATATATATATGTATGTATGTATGTATATACTGTATACACACAAACACACAATTTTAAGCACGCGTTTATGTGAGATAAGTGATAGTTGTTTAGAAAGAAAGTTGTAATTTATTTTTTAAGTATATGTGAATAATTTATGAAACCAATGTGTTAATTTGTTAATTAATTGTGCTGAATAGCTGAAATTAAAAGGATTTTAAAAATTAAAAATCTCTCTCTCTCTCTCAATTCAATTCCATTCAAAAGAGGTTAATTGACATGACTTATAAAGTATTTCCAAAGCATTGCAGATTACATACCATGAATAAAATTGATACATAACTATGAATACATTCGTAAAGTGATTATATAATACTTGCACACACACACACTAGAATTCGAAATTTGATAAATGCATACACAAAGGCTAAAATGATTTTTTAAAAGATATAATGAAAGAAAAAAAAATCTTAATAATAAAATACAATACACAAATGTACATTCCTGCAGATGGTTTGTGGTAATGTTTCTCTTGCTCTCTCAATTAAGTTCAGTTCAGTTCAAAATTCAAGTACTGGATATACTTTAGAAACAATGAATAAAATAGTGAAGCGATTATATAATACATATATTCAGACACACAACAACAACAAACAATTGAAACTTTGATAAATACATACACAAAACTAATCATTAAAAGAGATAATGAAAAAAAAAATCCTAATAATAAAATACATTACACAATTCTGTATTCATGCAGATGGTTTGTAGTAATGTTTCTGACTAGTTCTTTCTCTCAACACAGGAAGCTCTGAGTCCCATTTTGGGTGGTGGTGAAGATACAGCAGGTCCACATCAACATGAGACACAGGCAGCCTCTGTGACGGCCAGCTGCGCGTCTGGAATACAAGTCATCTAATTACGTGGAAAAGATGGCCACCGACCGCCAGCAAACAAACAGAGTCCCTCTCACCTGTCGCCTGACCTACTTTACCATGGAAAACACCGCTGGGCTGCTGTAAAGTATGTTATTTTATGGGCCGAAGCGGGTTTATTTTAGTTATACAATTAGGGGACTTAAGGGACACGGCATCGTAAATCAGACTTTACCGTAGATATGTACTGGCTCATTGGCCCATTTTACCTTAGTCCAACTTAATTGAATATGTTAACTTGAAGCTTAAAGAAAAGATCGAAGATGAAGATATTTATCTATGAAGATATTTAGCTGTAAATTGAATTCATTTTTGTGGGTATATCTCAAAAGCTCTGTGAAAAAAAACATATTCCCCTGAAAGAAAGAAAGAAAGAAAGAAAGAAAGAAAGAAAGAAAGAGAAAGAAAAAAGAAAGAGGAAGGAAAGGAAGGAAGGAAGGAAGGAAGGAAGGAAGGAAGGAAGGAAGGAAGGAAGGAAGGAAGAAAGAAAGAAAGAAAGAAAGAAGGAAAGAAAGAAGGAAAGAAAGAAAGAAAGAAAGAAAGAAAGAAAGAAAGAAAGAAAGAAAGAAAGAAAGAAAGAAAGAAAGAAAGATAAAGTCTAAACCAGGGGTCACCAATCTCGGTCCTGGAGGGCTGGTGTCCCTGCAGGGTTTAGCTCCAACTTGCCTCAACACACCTGCCTGGGTGTTTAAAGTATACCTAAGATCTTAATTAACTTGTTCAGGTGTGTTGTATTAGGGTTGGAGCTAAAACCAGCAGGACACCGGCACTCCAGAAACACGTTTGGGGACCACTGGTCTAAATGATTATATATATATATATATGAGCAATATAACGCCTGTAGCCAGTGTTGCCGGATTGTGCAGTTTTGAATATGACCACATCACACCAGTACTGCGCTCTCTACACTGGTTGCCTGTGCACTATCGTGTAACTTTTAAAATTCTTCTCCTGGTTTTTAAATCTCTAAATGGCTTAATTCCTTCCTACCTGTCAGACCTGTTGACTGAACATCAGCCTGGTCGGTCTCTTCGGTCATCAAACCAGAGACTTTTATACATTCCAAAGTCGAGGCTGAAATGCAGGCGTGACCGGGCTTTCGCAGTAGCTGGTCCTACTTTGTGGAGTGCTCTGCCCCTCTGTATTAGATCTATATCATCGCTGTCTGTTTTTAAATCTAGGTTGAAAACTTACCTTTTTGATTTGGCATTTTATCAGTGAGAATTGTTTGTTTTTAGCTATAATAACTATTAGTGAGATTTGGTTGTTTTTACCTATATTAACTATTTGTGAAAATTGTTTGTTTTGGCTATGGTTTTGTACTTGTTCTTTGTGATTTATTGTTCAGCACCTTGGTCAACCTTTGGTTGTGTTTAATGGTGCTATATAAATAAAATTGACATTAACATTGACATTGAATATGATTGTATGGGTATAAAATGGCTTAGGCAGGTTAACAAAATTTGGGTGCTTTTGATACACAAATTTTATATCAAATTTTTTTTACAACAAAACGTATCTATGTGCTCTTACTCGATTTAGATAGTAGTGACCAAAGCATAGAGCATTCTGCTTTAGCCCACCCTCAAGCAGGTGAAGGAAAGCTGACTCAAAATCCCCGGACAAATCCAACTCCCAGTCCGTGAAGCAGGTTTTCAATCAGGATTAAGTTAACTTGATTAACTTGTGTTGGGACAACATGATGGAAAGTGACTCGTTGGCGCAGTGAATAACACAAACGCCTCATAGCAAGAAGGTCTCTGGTTCGAACCTCGGCTGGGTCAGTTGGAATCTCTGTGTGGAGTTTGCATGTTCTCCCCGTGTTGGCATGGGTTTTCTCGGGTGTTCTGGTTTCCCCCACAAGTCCAAAGACATGCGCTATAGGTGAATTGGGTAGTCTATATTGGCCATAGTGTATTTGTGTAATAAAATGTGTATAGGTGTTTCCCGGTGATGGGTTGCGGCTGGAACAGCATCCGCTGTGTAAAACGTGCTGGATAATTTAGCCGTTCATTTCTGGGCGACCCCAGATTAATAAAGCGATTAAGCTGAAAAGAAAATGAACATGAAGGAATTGTGTGTAATCCAGCATTTTTTAGAGTGTGGGAGTATGTGAATGATGATATTTTATACATTTTTGTTTGATGAAGAAATTAATGTTTGTGTTCATTTTAGATATTAAAGGGTCATGACTCACTTTCGGTTCAGGTCTACCTCAGAATTTTTTCAAAAGATGCATCATAATGGGCGTGGAGCTACGCGAGCAAAGGGCAGGAGTGGCCGTGGCCAGCAGGGGAGAAGGGGAGCGAACAACTGTAGTCAGTCGGCTCACAAAATGAGACACAAACCGTGAGGAGACGCATGATTTTATAGTTTACAAAGTTTAAATTCAAAGAAATAAACAGTAATTTAATGCCCTGATACATTTGTTATTCGTAATTTCATATACAGATAACCACAATTTATAGCATTATAAAGATAATCATGATCATATAAACACTATAAATGAAGACTTTTCCCTCAATCCCCGGGTCTGAATGCAGACTCAGTGCAGCAGGTCTCCGGCCCTGCCTATTTTAACCATTAGCCCTGTTGTTAATCTAGAGGATTTAGGCGAACACAGCAGCACAACGATGTTTCTAAATGTGAACGAACTCCTGATAAAAGACAACATCTGCCATTCTCCAATTCTCGTACTGCTCTCCTGACAAAAATGCTTGCTGCACACAAACAGCTTTTCTGTATCGGCTCTAACAGCATCACGGGGAAAAATATGCAACAAACCCTGTGTATCATGGAAACAAACACATACAACCCTTCATGAACAGCTAAATACTGTGTGCCGTGGGTCTGTGTCTCACAGCTTGGCACTGGCATGTCTGTTTTGCCTTCGGAAAGCATGCGCTCTCATAAATAATTAAGAAGCCGGCTCTTCTCATAGGATAAGAAAACTCCACCCTAATTAATAATTAGAAACCAACGCGTCATCTTTGCACTTGCAGTTTTGCACTTCGTCGCCGATTTTGATCCTCCCCAAAAATCATTTTAAACCTGGAAGCTGAAATTAGCTGATAAAAGCTTAAAATAATCCAGTTTTTCCCACAATTTAAGCTTACAGGTGCTAACATTGTCCTAACTGATGCTCAACACACACAATCCTGTTAAAATCTCAAAAAAGGTACTCGAGGGTTTCATGAACCTTTAAAACTCAAAGTGAGGATTATGTTGGTACAGAGGGTTCGAGCAGCTCGGTGCATGGCGAATCTCAGCCGTCAGTCAGATCTTCAGGCCATAACTCAGTGTGTCAGAGGAATGTGAAATTGCCCATGCCGCCAACCTGCACGCAGCTCAGGGTGGAAATGTAGGCCACACTGCAAATATTTGGCTTGGATTGAGAAATTGAATTATACTGGCATGGAAAGCCAAGAAAATAAAAAAGAGCAACCTTGGGAACCATTATGCAAAGTGAATGGAGGCTTCAAAACCGAGAGCTACTGGTTTTCATTTGGAAAGTAAAAAAAAAATCCCTCGGTCGCAAAAAACCAATCTGCCTAAATAAATGCTTCCCCAAATCTATCTTTGCCTTGGGAGTGAGCTGTTAACTTCGCAGTGCCCTGGGTAGTTCATTTGGGATTTTAACTCTAGACGACTTAATCAACATTTGGTTTAGTTTTTTTTGCCAGTGGCCCATGCATGGTTACGGTACGAACTGCAGACTGAAACAGCGTCTTATTGCTTATGTGATGGTCTGATACAGGTGGCAAAACATAAAAGCTGTTATGTAGTTATCTTTGAATTAAGCTACAGTAAACCAGCGCTCCAATTCGAGAGTAAAACGTGGAATAATGGCTTGCACCGGTCGCTTTTGCATCTCCTTTGGGTCGTTTGGCTCTTAAAATATTTCCTGCAATGAACATAACAGATAACATTTCTGCAGAGTTGCAGTAACAGATCGCACAGCAGATCTACAGATGCACGTGTGTGGTAGCCTACAACGTCCAGTGTTTCTGTGTCACCTTTGGCTTGCTTGGATTGGGTTTGAAAGCAAACTATTGATTGACTACATTGAATATAGTTAAATAATAGTCTGATTGTGCTATTGTCAGTCTTGCTCAGTTTGTTGTTTGTTTTGTTTGTTTGTGCATTTATGTCTTTATTTACTTGGTTTTAAAGATGAATGATGAAGAAAACTCACATTGCAATGTTGTCACTTGTCTTAATATACTTTTATTTAAAAGGTGCAGTGTGTAAGTTTGACACTCAGTGGTTGAACTAGGTATTGCACTCCTGGATCATAACACATTTTCACTCGGCTCACCTCCTCCGCAGATTCACGCGTGCGTTTTTTCCATACTAAAAGGTGTTTCTGTCCTAACCAACACCTAAAATTTCTATTTTAGAAACTATTTATATTTCTCACAGGTGAACATCGATCACCTCATGTACTTTTTTCAGTGTTAAATGCTAATAATGTGCGTTTGAATGCCATTTTATATATGACTCAGTGCAAGCCAACACATATCAGTGATTCGTACGGATCACAACCCTCGGGTCAGAAGGCACGTGACCTGCAGATTAATACTTTTTTAGCTTGTAAATTAATTGTAAATTAGTAACGATCACAGAGAGATCGCCTTGCGCATCTTTTAAATCACATGTATGAAATCATTTAGGCTTTCCTGTAAAATGTATTGATGACGTAAGAAGTTGTGGTAGGTTTTTCAGGATGGGGTGGGTTTCTTAGGTTAGCTGCATGATTATTCATTAAAAGATTGGGATCTCAACACCCACACAAAATAAATTATAAATGATGGTGATTTGCATGTTTAATAATCCTAAGAGATTCAGTCTTTAATCTTTTGAATTAGTTATAAAGTTACAAAAAGTCAAATAACACAGAAGTACTGGGAGAACAGTTTAAAGTTTAGATAAAACCACTGATGTTTATGATAAAGATTTCAGTTACCGTCATAAGCATTTAAAGGCGCTGTAGGTGATTGTCTTCAGAAGCATTGTTTGTTGTGCTGGTTGAATGTCTCTACACAGTCTAATAGTAATGATTGAAGTAAATGATCTAAATGTATTTATATGTATTTTTATATTTTGGGTAAGGCATAAAACTAAAAAATGTTCATCCAATTAAATAGGATCGGGCCAACATCTCTAATAATCCCGATAAGTAGGCCAAACTGTCTGTCAGCAAATGCAGATTTGAACAACTGCGCAGCCTTTTGTACGCAGCTCTGCCGACCGCTCTTTGTGCTGCGCGTTTACGAGAGAGGAGAGAGCATGCGCGGGATTGGTTAAAACCTGCTAAATCAAAACTTTTTAAAAACCTGAATCAATATTGGAGTTACCTTTGG